GGAATGAATTTTTGTACATAGGGTAGGATTTGGTCCCCCCACACAAAATCGTGGTTCCATCCCAGGATTTAGAATTCAATCTTGGTTGGCAAGTTTTATTTTAATTTGTCCAAATATCGATAAGATAACATGGTGCATTTATTTTTATGTCAATAAAGGTCAATGGCAAAAAATGAAAACTACTCGTAAGCCAATTGTGAGTGATTTCACATTCAATTTAAGAATACGAACCAAAAAAAAAACCATAATTGTACAAATCGATGGAAAAAACCCCCAACATAGTCATCGGTCACATCTAGTTATATTTTAGTTTTTCTCTAATTAAGGATAAATTATAATTTGTATCCTTAAAAATATACACCTAATTCCTATTGGCCTCCCTCATTATAAAATTCTGGATTCTGTCCCAGGATCGATAAGAGAGTGATAGGGTGAGCATACATATATATAACTTTTTTTTTTGTAAAATTGAGGGTGGGTCAAGGACTCCCTAACCCGAATGTAAGTCCGTGTGTGTGTGTGTGTGTGTGAGAGAGAGAGAGAGAGAGGTAAAGCTACAAAAAAAATGAACTGGTTGTGAAAGTCTTTTTCTACTACATTATTTAAGGAAAAAGGTGTTAAGTTTTCATCAACTACATGTTATGTTACGTGGGGTATATTGGCAGCACACGAGGAAAGCATGAATAGTGTATGGGGCCTTGAATCAATAGGAATCCAAAGTAGCTCTGTGCCGAGTGTCGACACACCATTCAGTTGACACAATGAATCACCGACTTACATAACACACCTCAATTAGGGTTTGATTACGATACCTAAAATTTTTGTTCAATATCATACCACTTATCACTTTTTTAGTTATGCATACAACTATTTAGGTAGAACTTAATAACTTTTAGGGTACATTTATTTTGTTTTTGTTCCAAATAACATTTTCGTTTTTGTTTCTAATGACTATACCTAAGCTAACATTTTCTAGTAGACAAGAATAAAAAAGATGCTAAACTGGTAATTCTCTATCCAAAAATGAGTAGTACGTAATACCTATATCTTATGTATTCCGTAATTAATGGAATGTCGTAAATTAATCAACTATAGCTAGATCTGTAAGGTATGTACCTGTAATTAGCATAAGAATGTTGATATCGAGTGTGAAGTTGCGTATGGCAGCTATGGCTTTCAAAACAAATATACCAACAGCAACAGCTCCAAGAGCCACCCATTGAACCGGGTGATAAACGTATCTTAGAAACGATACCAAAAGCAAAACACCACAAGCAACTACAAATGGACTTGGCCATTTCTTCTGGTAATTTCCACTTCCATACACTCTAACATTTGCTTCCAATCTCGCTTGGTTCAATGCCTTAACTGCCATTCATCATCATCATAACAATGTTTTATTTAGTATATACTTATGACCCTCTTGCAATCCCGAAAAATGCGCAGTGGAAAGAAAATTAAAAGTGAAAACTAACAAAAATAAAAGACAATTTTATCAGCCGAATTAGAATTGAGAAAGTAATGATCATAAAATCACTATTGGCACGTTCGTAAGATATACTTGATCAAGCTATGGTTTTCAACCTAATACCCCCATGTTAACTGACATAGTCCGAAATATTATTGTAGTTTCAACTATTGAATTTTTTTTTATTGAGAACTTGTCAACTCATACATTACTAAGTCATGGCAATAGATGATATCATAAGTTAATTTCTAGAAATATTAGCGTTATTTGTTACAACAATTTATGGTTTATATTGATGAAAAAGTATTACATGTGACTTGCTACTTTTTGTTTATCCAAAATAATTGATGATCACAAACTGTAGAGTTGCTAATTCTGAACTCAAGTCATAAGAAACTTGGCTATGAAAAATCAAAAGTTTTTTGCCCAATTATCATCTTTTTCTATATGCATAGCAGTTTTCCAACTTTTTTGCCGACCTAATATTGTTTACATGAAATCGTTTATTTCGCTCACGTTTTACATCATAGGAAAAGAAAGATATCACCTGACATGTGACCGGTAGCCCCGGAATCGACGAATCCAATCACTGGAAATGGAAGAAGTACTCGAAGACTTAAATGAATAGCCATCGCTGTTAAGAACAACCGAGATCCAATGAGAATTTTCGCGTAGCTTCTGGTCTTTGACAAACAAATGTGAAATGGAATCTGCGTTTGATATAGAACATTATAGATTACGAAATAAGTTAAAAATCACAATATATAAATAATACAATAAAAAAATTAAGAAATGTGTCATTAAGATGATGACTACTAGTCTCACTTTTATGCCAGAATATTGTTATGTCCACCGCTTAAGCACTAACAACAAACAAGTGGACCACGTAATCAGTCTAACTTATCATGCAGAACCAACTTTAGTTTTGTCATGAATGCTAACTTTACATTTGTCCAAACTAGGATTAATTATCGTATTAGTATCATCATTCATCATCAACTTCAATGCAATGGCAACACACATAAATTACTAAAAATCAAAAGAGATCGTACTAAGTGTACAAAATTTTAATCTATTATCGGATTAGAGAAAAGTATGTACAAATATAATAAGTAACTTATTTGATTTTCACATTAGAACACCAGCAACATATCAAGAGCATTTTTTTTTAATTGAAAACATGTTTCATACAAAATAGAAAAAAAAATAATGGGAACTGCTACACCAACAAAATATAAATAATGTGATGTTGACGTAATGAGCGAGATTTAAATTACTATTTGGATTTAATAATAAACAACATTAACTAATTTTTAAATTGGAACCCGTAACATTTCGCAGAAATTGTTTCGGTTGAAAACATGATCTTTCTTACAAAACATACAAAATGAAAGAGAAAAAAAAAAATAATGGTATGAGAGAGGAAGTTAAAGCCATTACCAATTTGAACCTGAGAAAGGAGGAGAGTATCATGAACAACAATGACTGTTCTGGAGGGGACTATGGTGGTAACCTCTTTGACACCATCAAGAGATCTTAAAATCTTTTCAATCAAAGGAACCTCTGATGTACAGCAAAGACCCAACAGATCAAAGTTGCTTTTCTGCAACTTTTTGGCTGCACCTTCTTCAGTATAAGCTGCCATTTTAGCATCTATATGTTCTGCACATAACAACAGATAGAAAATGGTAAAATCAAGATCATGCTGCTACAAATAAAGCTAATTTTTTGGATTGGGAAGTAGATTCTGCTCATTAATTTGATCTGTGTGAGTTTACTAAATGCCTCAAACATGAAGAAATTAAAACCCAGCAAGAGTTGGAAGAAGCTGGGATTTCGACAAGCATCATGAAATAGTAGAAACAATTCGATAGCTCACGATTTGATGAAAATTATATTCTTTGATAGAGCACAATGGAAAAAGATCTACGAAGGGTCTTCAAGAAATTTGGACAGCACATCATAAGGATGAATCCCTATAAAAGCTTTTTGGGGTAATAACTGTTAGGATCAGTGTAATCCACTCAAAACAGTTGGTATAGAGACGGAAATAAATTCTTTGATAGAGCACAATGGAAAAAGATCTACAAAGAGACTTGTAAAGCACAACATAAGGATGATTCCCCATAAATACTTTCTCGGAGTAATAACTATTAAGATCTGTGTAGTTAACTCAAAATTCTTCCACCGTTCTTAAATATATGTCATTTAACATCATTTTTTTATTTTATAATATTTATTGTTTAATGAAATTAAAGTATTATTAATAATTTTTATTCTAAATTTACCCTTAACTTTTTAATTTATTAAATTAAGTGGAAACTAAGTGTCTTTCATATTCATTTTTTTTCCCACACATATTAAATAAAGATATTTTAGTTTTGTATAATTATTTTTACTCATATTATAATTATTTAATAACTTCCTTAATTTCTATATAAAAATTTTAAACGATAAATATTTAATAACAGAGAGAGTAATTGAGAAGAGGTCTTGTTGAGTTGAGTACACAAGAGAGAGAAAGAGGGAGAGAGAACCTTGTAATGAATGGAAGCCAGTGAGGATTAACTTTGTTCAAGCTTTACTTTGTGGGTGGCAAGAAGAGGAGGGTTGAGGGATTAGAAAGATATGCAGATGGTGAGATATAAGAAGGGAATGAAGCAAGTGTAGCGAAACGATACTCTTCAAAAGGAACAATGAATTTAGAACAGAATCTGCAATGGGAGAGATGATATTTTAATTGGAAGAATAATTTTCTCTTCTTTTGAGGGGTGGATTAGATTTAAAATTTTAAATGCGGACAGAATCAGTTACGATACAGAATGGGAGTCCAAATGGAAAACCCACATAAATGGTTCTAGGAAAAATTTTAGTTATACCCTTTTAGTTTATATATTTTTAAGGATACCCATTTTATTATCAAAAATATTATTAACATCCCTTCTAATTTATATTTAAACTTCATTGACACCTTCTGCCTTTAAACCACTATTTCTAAAAAAATTCCTTACATAAATTTCAAACAATTTTTCTACATAAAATTTTATTAAAATTCTAGTCTAATAAATTTTATTTTTTTTACGTATTAAAATTTAAGTTGATTAAAATTTATTTTTCTATATATTCAAATTCAAGCCCATTTGAGCTCTACCCGAGTTGTTAGAACAGATTAAAATTCTTTTTTGAGTCTATTAAAATTTATATTTTTTTACTTATTAAAATTCGAGTTAATTAAAAATTATATTTTTTTATGTGTTAAAATTTAGGCTGATTAAAATTCAATACAAGTTGATTAAAATTTAATTTGAGTCAATTAAAAATAATTTTTAATTAACTCAAATTAAATTTTAATTAGCTCAAATTTTAATCCGTTAAAAAATATAATTTTTAATCAACTCAAATTTTAATAGGTAAAAAATAAATTTTAATTAGCTCGTATTAAATTTTTTTTTTTTTTGGTCATTCATAAAACAGACTTACAAAAAAGTATACTTACAACAAAAAATAAGCAACAGGAACTATCCTATACCCACACGAACATCCTTCTGGATCTGTTGCAGCACATGAAATGAAGGATTCAAAAACCAGTCAATAGGAAGACTCCCACAATTGATTAGATGAGCAACTATGTGAGTTAAGTGATTAGCAGATCTGTTGACAAAAAGAAACTGAACAGCAGTGAGCTGGGAAGACATAATTCATACATCACGCTGAAAGTGGTTCAACCTCTCTCAATGACTTTGCAGCCCCCAACACCAAAGAATCAATGAGAGGTTTTGAGTCACTTTCAAAAATAACAAACCTCCAGCCTTCATTCAGTGTCAAATAGAACGCCTTCCAGAGCTCATATCGAATTTTAGTATGTATAAAAATTTAGAAAATAGAAGAGGTCTCAATGAAGATATGTTTATCTATAGGGGGTGTGGATGAAATTTGTCTTTAAATATATTATGATCAATTTAGTAAAATTACATTGTAGTTAATATTTTTAATCTGACAGAAATGTCAGTGAAGATTCAAAAAAATAAAAAGAGTGTCTTTGAAAATATAATACATTAGAGGAGGCGAGGTTGAAATTTTCCCATGATTCTAATATACCAGTATGTGTGTGGAGGTTAGGTAGGAGTGAGATAGAAAGAGAATGAGAGAGAAAAAATAAAAATAAATAAATTATAAGTTAATAGGCAATTACCAGAAAATTTTATATGATTTAACACGTCATGTGTCAACAAAAGTACACCCAATTGAAAAGCAAGTCGTGGGTACACAAGTTGGCTCTTTCTGATAAGATGATAGGTGACTCCTATTCATTCATTGGATATATATAATTTTTTATTGATAATGTATATATTGTGTGTTAAACAGCCGGTAGTTTAATTTATTTTTTTTAGTTTTTCGTAGTTCAAATCACTTGATTATTATTAATTCAATAATTCTTATGCGAAATTTTTCTAAAACTCTTATCTATTATCTAACTCTTTCTCTCTTTATCTCATACTAACTGATACAAAAACTCACATCTCTAGTCTAACTCTATCTACTTGTCCCATACTATAATTATCTCCTTGTCTCATACTAACCTCTACCTCTCTCACTTGTCTCTCCATGTCTCTCACAGTCAACTCTACAACTTATGTCAGTCATCCAGCAGTCGCCACTTTCAGGTAACGCTCAGCATTATTGTTTTCCTCTATATACATCATTTTTTTTTTTTCTCCCCTTGTGTTGGATAGATACCATAACGTCTAGTGACAAAAGCTCGAGTGACAACTGTCCCCTTCAGATACTTTGGTTTCTTAGGTTGTCTGGTTCTCTATTATTTTTCATGGGTTTTTTTTTATTTCGGTTTTCTACTAAAAGATATTGATTTTCGTGGGTGTCATTGGTTGAATTGATTTTTTGTAGGTCTAGATTTCTCTGTCATACGCCCAAGTTCCTACCAAAGTGGAGTGGAGGTTTGAATTTTGATGGTCGAATGTGAATGACTTATGAATAGTTTCAATTGACGTGAATCACTCACGTTGTTTACTGTTTGTTTTAGATCTCTATAATTAGGAGATGAAAGAAAGTACTTGGCAAAATAGTATAAATTTTCATAGTTATTTTCTGTACATATTTACTTGAGCGATTCCTCTTATTTTCTATATTTTGATGTTTTTTGAACATAGAGATGGAAGATGACAAAGAGGAGAGCCTCTGATTCCTTTATTTTCTGTGCAGATTAATGTTATTGTACAAGAAGCAAGATATCCATTTTGGGGTGGCTTTTATTTGGGCTTGATTGTATAACTTGAATAAAGAGTTCTTTCTTTATTATTGTTCGCATTTTGCAATTCCTCATTTGCTAATTGTTATGGAATTGTGGGGTTGTCTCAAAGAACACTTGCCAATAGTTTAAAAAAAAAATTAGAAATAGATGATTAATATGCAAAGCTTATCAGGAGGATGACCCCCACCTAGGTGCTATTGCGAATCTCTACATCTTTTCCAATTAAAATTTTTTGTCATGAATTGATTTTCTATGTTTTTGGGTTTTAGTGAACATATTGTTCAGCTATATAAAGAATCACAATATCCATTGTAGCTTTAATTTCATGGTCTGGAGCATTTGTCAAAGTTTCTAGAGCAAACAAACTAAGTAGCGTCTGAAAAGTGTTAAAAAAGTAAAAAAATTCTTTGCATTTGAACTACATTAGAGAAGGACTCATAACATTATTTTGTACATTATATTTGACCCCTAAATTTTTCAAAATTTTAATAATGGTTCTAATTTTTTGTTTTTCAATAAATTAGTGATCCACTAACCCTTTAAAATAAATATGGTAGTTTTGGATTAAGTCAATTAGATGTAACTATTCTGATCTTTGTATATTGACAAAAATATAATAATTATTTTTATCTAACATAATGTTCATTATTTTTTAAGAACAAATTTTTATTTTTATTTACCATTTTTTTAATAATAGTTGTCTATAACCTAATAAAATATGATTGTGTACAAAAGGCAAAAAGTTGTAACCCAAAAATATTACAAATTGTTTCGAATAGAGAATTTCTTTATAAGCTCGATAATGATCTCAACTAAATTTTACAACTAAATAAAAAATAATTTTACTACGGATTTGTGATTGTGCGCATTGATAAAAAATTAATTTACATTTAATTCATATACAAAATTTTAGAGATTTGAAATTTTTTTATATTTTATTGAAATATATAATTAGGTTAAAAAGTACTAAAAAAATTATTTTGTTTCTTTTTGTTATGATTTTATTTCAGCTAAATAAAAATTAAATTTATTATTTCACAATAATTTTGTATTGATTCTTACTTTTTTTTGATCCCTTAACTAAATTTTTGTGTATTAATTTCAACTAAATATTTTTTTTTATCACTTATATTTTGCCCCATTGTAGATATTCCTCGCCCCGCCTCTGTTAGTTTGTTACAGTGCTTGATCTTCTGCATGGAATTTAGACACCAAAGGACAAGCGTTGTTATAAATAATAGGGCTATTCTTAACTTGTATCCCAAAAGATCACTCAAATTTTATTTTATACTTTTAAATTTTAAAAATATCAGTTTATACCCTGACAAACATAAATTTGTATCAATGTGCACCTGAGGTTAACTCCATCCATTTTGCCGTTAAAAAATTTTGGACTAATTATAAATTATGCCCCTTAAAGTTCAAATATTTCATATTTATGATCTAAAAAAAATTTCACCCATTAATACTCTTTAAATAGTTTAATTATATCATATCATAACATAAGAACTGTATTTCTATACACGTCTAATAGCAAAAACAACTTTTCCACTTATGATTGTAAGACTATATACATTTAACTCTCCTCCAAAATCCGTAGTATTGAGAACCTTGTGCACTAGGTCATCATCCACCTACACATACACATATTTGTCACTGTTAAAAGTATATGCAATCTAATTATGGTTAACTTGTAGTAATAACTGTAAGGGATGAAACCCTCCACTCAGGATTTCGGCTTGACCTCCGCGCGTTCGGGAGTAGCCTTTACCCCTCTTCCTGAGCCGGAGCCCTGGCCTAGCCTAATGTGGGGAGGGCGCACCGTATCCCACATCGGAAGAGAGTCGTCTTCCCCCCTCGCATATAAGCCCTTGCACTCAAAGGAGGAGGTACCGTGCCTAGTGGGTACCTCCTCCTTTGAGTGCAAGGGCTTATATGCGAGGGGGGAAGACGACTCTCTTCCGATGTGGGATACGGTGCGCCCTCCCCACATTAGGCTAGGCCAGGGCTCCGGCTCAGGAAGAGGGGTAAAGGCTACTCCCGAACGCGCGGAGGTCAAGCCGAAATCCTGAGTGGAGGGTTTCATCCCTTACATAAAGGCGCCTTTATGTAAGGGATGAAACCCTCCACTCAGGATTTCGGCTTGACCTCCGCGCGTTCGGGAGTAGCCTTTACCCCTCTTCCTGAGCCGGAGCCCTGGCCTAGCCTAATGTGGGGAGGGCGCACCGTATCCCACATCGGAAGAGAGTCGTCTTCCCCCCTCGCATTCCGATGTGGGATACGGTGCGCCCTCCCCACATTAGGCTAGGCCAGGGCTCCGGCTCAGGAAGAGGGGTAAAGGCTACTTCCGAACGCGCGGAGGTCAAGCCGAAATCCTGAGTGGAGGGTTTCATCCCTTACAATAACAATTGCCAAAACAATGTATAATGCAAAAAGGGTTAGATCAAATACTAAACCTCGATGACAAGTGAAATAAGATCCTATAAGGTACAAACAGAAACCAAAAGGGTGTCAATATTTCCAAAAACTCGGAGGTTGTTTTGTATGTATATCAATCAGCAAAAGGTAGCAACAGTATTTCTCCTTAATTCTTTTCTGAATTTTACCTAAGAATGTGAACTAACCTGAGACATGTTCTAACTGCTTTATGCATTTTGGCATTGCTATTTGGGCAGGATATTCTTGAATGCTGTTTGGCAATTCATACGAGTAATGCCACTTGAACTACATTTGCTACCAAGTTCGACTAACCAAATGTGTACTGACCAGAAGACAAGAGATAAAAAATGGAACCAATAAGGAATGATAAAACGCCAAAGGGATTTCCAAACCGTCTAGCTTGGTCCAGCTTTTCATTTTCCTTTGCTTGTCCATCAAAGGAAGTCAGAATGGCTCACCTGCCTCAACAATTTGATCACCAACTTCTGAGTGTCAACTAGTTTCCCCACGGGTAGAAACTTTCTGATTCTCATTGAGCTGCCAACCCTCTCACTGACAATCACCTCAGTGACAATTCTTTCATGACCCAACCACTGTCACTCTGCATTGTTTTATCAGTTACATGAGGAAAACCACTGAGAGCATTGCCAATAACCATCCCCATGGCTGAGGTCCCTCAAGAGGGAAAAGTGGCATCAATGACTCCAGAGAAGCAAGTGAATGACCAACCGAAGTGACTCTAGTGTCTGCAGCAATTTTGCTTGGTTGTATTTGCAGCATGAGTCCTGAAAGCATTTCTTAAAGCAGCATCAGAACATGACATGCAAGCATCTTGACTGTGAAGATGTGGCATCAGCAGCCATAGTGTAACTCTGTACCCTCAAGTCTACAAAAAAATGACCAAGTGTATTTAGTAACAAAAACATAGATTGCCCCATCTCCAACTTCAATGTGCATATCATGTGAATCATTACCTGAAAGCAATGGAATGCTAGTGCTAAGACCTTACCAAGACATTCAGATTAATTTTATCAGGAAAACACAAGAAAGTGACTGGAAACCAAACTAATCCAGAATCAGAGTAACATGCACATCTCAATACTGTTATGAAATTGAAATAAACATTAGAGAAAGATGAGATGTACCCTAGACCTAATACCACCGGAAAGGCAAGTCCAATGCTAAAAACTCCTAATGGTACTCTGGTCAACATTTATTATGCTCCAAGGCAGTGAAGCCAATGTCTTCATGGGGACTAGTACATGTAATGTCACTGATAACACAGCTTTGTGTGTCAGCATATCCTGTGGCTAGTGTTGCAGAAGCCCCAGATTCAGAAAAGCCTTCCATATGCAATTGTTCTGAAAGTGAATCAAGTTTTGATTATGAATGGCTCCTCCAGGTGGTATCTTATTTCAACAAACTTAAACAGAAATTCAGATAGATATAGCCACCATTATGTGTGAACCTTTTCTCCTCGACAATAGATTAAGGTGAAGTTTGTTAGGTTCATCATTTAGCAATAAGTAAGCTTTTAGCAGCACATGCTCCCAAAGAGGACCATCCTATGATATGTGTTATATTCCACCTTCCTTTCTTTTGTGTGCGCTTGTTAGGGAATGGGAATGGTCCTCTTCACCTCTCAGTGACATGTGTAGTTAACTGGATTGCACAGCATCCTCCAAAGGGATATCCCTGTGAAATGGGTTCCAGTTCACTTTCTTTCGTTCTGGGTCCTCCTTAGGAATTGTCTTCTAGGCCTTTCAGCTGTAGTTCTTTGCTGTCCTTCTTGCCGTATTCCTTTCTTCTAACCACATCAATTTAGAACAACTGGAAAGACTAAAAATAGGAAAAGAAGGAAAGAGAAATTGAAGTCAACAGGTTAATAAATGGTTTCTTAGGTAGCATTCTATTTATTTTAATAGTGTAGTCATTAATTAATGGATGCAAATCTTCTAGGTTTTATTTACATTTTTCCTGATGCTAACTTATGATCTAAATGTAACTATTTTCTTTTTGCTAGAAATGAGTTAACATTAACTAAAATAGATATGTCAATTTTCGACAAGACACACTAACACAAGTCCAACCCGACGTGAAGTTAGCAAGGTTCAAGTTATAGAGTTTGACACAATTAGTTCATGTCATATTCATGTTGACATGCTTATTAAAAATATCATATTTGGGTTTTAAATTTCAACTAGCTTGCCAGCTTAACGACAAGCACAGGAAATGACCCATGAATGGATTATAACCAGTGGAACTCGTGCTTTAAATTGAAACCCCTATTTTTTAACTGTATATGAATTGTTTTTAATTTTATTTTGACATCAGTAGGAATGCATTAGTTAATTGTACCATATGAATTGTTTTCAATTGAATGCATGAAACCCAACAACTATGACACAGCCTATATCTGACTGGTTACACAAATCGTGTCGTGTTAGGGTTTAGAGATTTTGACATGATTAGTTAATTGTACCATATATGGGTTGACCTGATTTTGACACAATGAGCTTCCACCCGACTGAACAAGACCCTTTTGCACCCCAAGTCTAGAACATATGCAGCTCACTTAAAAAAAAAAAATAACTCTCCTTAAATCAAAGGAGTTTAGCAATCCATCAAGCTGAACTCCAGCATATAATGATGATAAAAGATTTAGATTCAATCAAATGAAATCACAGACAGAAGAAACAGCAAAGCGACTCACCAGATCATTCACCTCACTGAGCAAATAAAGTCAAAACAGCATCATTGCCATATATATTTCTTCCATTAAACATCCTTCTTCTGTAGTTATCCAAGCTGAAAATTTAGGAATTCCAATGCAGGAAAAACCAAGGGTGTGAAGTGAGAACACAAAACTGACAAATGCTGAATTCCTTTAGTAAAATGGAAAGGATCTCCGACAACAAAAACAAAGCTGTGAGAATTAAAACAAAGGAAGCCAAAAGTGCTAGTGCAACCTCACTGCTAATATGACATATTAAGTTGGATGTCTTAAGATCCAAAGAATTTCACCGTTATTTAATATTTCCATTTCACCTTCCAGGCATTTCGTCTATCAAAGAAAATATCTGACGAACCAATAGAATCAATCTAGAAAACATTGCACAAAGTTACAGCTCAGATATTGTGGGCAAATAGTAGTAGTAATAGACGTACACATGCCAGTAACAACAATAAAACACCTTACTTGTAGAAATGTGCATAAAGGCTCCAGTACAGTACTTGGTTGTAACAGATATGATAATATGTGCTCACAAGCCATACCATAATAAGCTAATATGAGGATTGAGGTGGCAGGCATGTTTTATATGAGAGTAGAAGTTCTTCTTAAGTCAAATGTAATCATTAACAGCAAGCAGGTTTCTTACCTTCTCAAATTAAGTCTTTCTGTGGTGAGTAGGTACCAAGATTAAGTCAGTTCATCTATTTACAAAGTGTTAAAAATAAACTTACTTCATGCACCATGAAAATACCTCAATTATGAATCATATTCCATCAAAAGATTCAATGAAATGCTACTCTTAAGATTCTTGAGTCCCCCCAACCCTGGAGGGGGCGGGGGGTATTTAAACCTCATAAATACCCCCTGCATATTTTCTGCAGGAAATTAACTCCTCTCTGCTGCATTTTTTTTTTTGGTGGGAGCATTTTTATTTTCTTGCAAAAGAAGTAAATAAAAAAATGACAGAAATGTTGAGGTGCAGAAAATTGTCCAGAAAAGTTTGGATGCTCCAAAGCTTTGCTCATTTAAAACACTGCTAAAATTAAACTAGATGATTGTGATAGCCAGAAATCACAAACCTGAGAAAAATGCAATGGGAAGCTTGGTAGTTGGTAAGTTTGACAAGTTTCTCAATCTTTGCCTCACTATAAAAGATTAACATTCGGAATATAACCTTCCATCTTCATTTCCTCATATAGCATGTTAAGCAATTGGCAAATCGCTAGTGAATCATGATGTAAAGAGTCACCAGCATGAAATTCATGAACCTCAGCATCCACCTCAATCCAGCTACAACCTGGAGTTTTCGTGACACCTTTCTGTCTCATTAACAATCTCATCCTAGCTGAATCGTCCCACCTTTTCATATTTGCATAAATCTTTGAAGAAATTATATAATTACCAGAATTTGAAGGCTCCACTGCCAGAAGAAGCTGCATAACCCGTTCACCAACATCTATGTTTCTGAGTTTCTGACAAGCACCAAGCAATGAACCTAACATAACTTCATCTGGTTTTTCAGACATCTTCTCAATAAAGTCCCATGCTTCATATACCTGTCCTGCACGTGCCAACAAATCAACCATGCAAGAGTAATGCTCAATTTTCGGAACCAGTCCATATGACGAGCTCATTAGTTCAAACAAACGGCGGCCTTCATCAACTAATCCGGCATGCACACATGCAGAAAGAACTCCAACAAAAGTGACATCATTTGGCCTGAGAATCCCCCCCTCCTCTGACATGCACTTAAAAAGCGATAACGCCTCTTGGACCCGCCCATGAAAAGCAAGGGCTGAAATCATTGCATTCCATGACACCTCATTTTTTTGTGTCATATTATCAAAAACTCTAAATGCACTGTCCACACTCCCACACTTTGCATACATATCAATTAAGGCAGTAGCAACATAGATATCATGCTGTAAGCCTATTTCTGATGCATATGCATCAACCCACCTCCCAAAATCTAGGGCGCCCATTGAGGCACATGCGGAGAGAATTCCGATCAATGTGATCTTATCCGGATTGAACCCTCTATCTTTCATGGCATTGAATAATGAGATTGCTTCACCAGAAAATCCATTTTGCACATATCTGTCATGGGTAAAAATTAATGATACAAAGTGGGCTTAAAACCATCAATGATTTGATCAACAACAGACATTGGGAGCAACACCGAGCATTGGTCTGTCTCTTATGTAAAAATTAATCTGGTCAGTGACAACATCTTCGCAGAACGTCTAGTTATCATCACTCAAGTTTAGCAAATATTTCTACCACAAATGTCCACATACGGCTGCATTCCACTGGGGAAGTATTCCAGCATGACTCAGTGAGCCTCAAAAAACTCCAAGCAAACCATAATCACCCCCCCCCCCCCCCAACAAAATAAAATAAATTAAAATTAATAAATAAAAGAGGAAAAAAACAAAATTAAATCAGTTCAAAAGATGAAATCGAAGCTAATATGTGGTGCAAAGCCAAACCAACTCAAGGAAGCATAAGTTGGTTTTGACCTTCAAAAATATTCCTCAAAAGAATCATCATACAAAAAGAAAAAAGAAATGATTGAATTGCTAATATGGCACAGTTGATTCTATGTTAATAAGCCTCATTCTTCGGGTCAAAGTGTATATAAAGAACTAAAAAGAAACTTGTGCTCAAGTTTTCCAAATGTTGTTTTTTTTTTAAGGTGCAATACTCTTCATATCTCGTTAGTAAGATGTAACCAAATCCAATTTGATTTAATGTCCATGCAAAGGTTTTCTTTTCTTTTCTAATTTAGGTCAAAGCAATTAGTTGATGCCACAGATATGTAGTCAAGTAAAGTTAAAGCTCAAAATGTTTACTTGAAGATCCAACATCATAAAACATAAACAGAACCATGGTTACCACAAAAATGAACGACCCAAATTGTAATACTAATCCTAAATCAATTCGCTTTGGAACATGTAGCACAAATATAAAATATATATTAATTGACTACATGTATATAGATTTATAATTATATATTATTTTAGATAATAGAAAATTAAGCACAACTATAATATAAATGGTAACTAACTTAGTGTTTATAAATGTTCTGTAATATATAATGTTGTATAGTAGTGAAAACAATCTCCATAAGACTTCCGAAACGAACTGCGATCTAAAATACCGTTCTAGTTAAACCTACCCTCATCGTACCGCGTACCTAAGAAAGTGTCGTATCATGTATCTTTACCCGTACCACATACTAAAACGACCGACAATCTAGGTAACATTGAACAGAACAAGGCATGTACGTTTTCCTAAAAGTTAATAGAGTGTTATGGACAGAACTTTTGAATTGCTTGGAAAGCTAACATTACGCAGAAAGACTATGAACACAATTCAAGAATGAATTAAGTTCTTCGCAACATACAAGTAATACCACATAAGAATGGAGAGAAGTACTTGCCCTGTAATCATGGCATTCCAGATGACCATATCTTTTGTCGCCATTCTGTCAAAGACATTCCTCGCTGACAACAAATCCCCACATTTGCCATACATATCAATCAAAGCAGACCCAATATACGCACTCAACTCCATGTTATGATCCCCAACAAAACCTTCAACCCACCTCCCCAAACTCACATTGCCTAAGTCACCACACGCCCTGAGAAGGCTCACTAGCGTCATTTCATCCGGCTCAAACCCCTCATCCCTCATTTTCCCAAACAACTCCACCGCATTGCTCGCAAACCCCATCTGGGAATACCCGAGATCATCGAATTCCATGAGACCAAATCTTTCTGCAAAATATCATCAAACACTTGCCGGGCAAAACCTAACTCGTCACATTTCGAATACATTGTAATCAAGGAATGCCTAACATGCCCATCTACATCCAACCCACTTTTGAAAACCATTGAATGAGCCAACCTACCATGATCCAAAGCCAAAAGGTTAGCACAAGCAATAAACACAAATGGGTACGTAAAGTTATTGGCTTTGAAGCCTAAAAACTTCATCCTGTAGTAAAATTCTAGACCCATATCGAATCTTTGCCATGTGGTAGTTAGTCCTCTAATCATGACATTGAAAGCAAAGTCATTGGGTTGCGGGATTTGTGCAAAGAGAATGGAAGCATAGTCGAAGTCTTTCAGGTCAATGAGTTTTGCGAGCAGGAAATTGAATTTGGGAATGGAATGTACAAGCATTTGGGTGTGTATTTGTTGGAGTGGTTTGGCGGAAATGCATTGTTTTATCAGTGTTAAGAGTTGTTCAGTGAATGGTCGTTGGTTTGAGTGGCTGTGACTGACTTGGGTGGTCGCTGTTTGAGAGGTAGTAAGATGGCGGGAAAGTGTGTGTGAGAAGACGCTTGATCTGAGCATTGTTTTGGGAGGTGAGGTGATTATTGGTAGTCAGAAATCAATAAAACAAGCGATTCTGGGGGTAGAAATTGTGGTTGGTAGCATGACCCACCTACTGGAAGAAGGTTCCAATCCTCCCCTGAATAGTACAAGGGGAATGGATCATGATTAGAAGAATCCGAATCGTCTTTAATTTCAAGGGTTGTATGCGCTTCATATTTGCCCCGAGTTTAAAATATAGTCATCCTTTGCTTTTTTACGTCAATCTCACGAGTCTCTTTTTAATTTTCATTTAATTACGGTAAAAGAGCAAATCAAAATAAAAAAGCATAAATTGAGTTTAAAGATAATCTCGCATCAATGATTTTCACCACGTAAGGTCGATTGATCAATCCTAGAGATAATGTTTTTAAAGATTGATCGTCCTACCACACATATTTTTCTTACCATATGCTACTTTTAATATTGGAACTAGCTGTCTTATATAGCCAAGCTCGCCCTCAATAAACAAAAATAGAGGCTTTGTCAAGAATTTGAGATTTTTGGGTCGAATTGAGAAATTAGCAATAGTCATTCTCTTCAATACATTTTTTATTTAATTAATAAGCGAGGAGTTCACTTTTACACAATCAATCCCTACTTCAATTCAATGATTAATAATCGTTCACGAAAAGAATTGAAGATAAAATATATTGGAGGTGATCTTACGCCAAGGAAAATGATTTACTTACCATATAAATGTAGATAGTTAAATTAGTAAGTCCAATAAAAAAAAGTTAATAGATCTAACTAGTCACATTGATTTGATAATTTTTTTTTAGTAAAATTTTATTGTAACTATAGCAATACTTTTAGTATAAATTATTTTCCAAACTCTACTATGCATCCCCAATTTTTCATCGCAAATTTTGTTTCCAAAGGTGTGTAGGATACCAATAAGAAATCAAACAAAGAGCAAGACAGGATTAGACAAAGAACAGTGGGATTTGTTAGCATTAAACTTTTAGAATGTGTCCATAGGTTTTTAAAGTTTTAGAATTGTTCTAAACTTATTGGTTATGGAAGGACATGAAAGTTGTGTGATTTCACATCTTTGAAGTGAAATATCTCTTCATAAGCAACTGTTTCACATGCAAATGTTAGAATAATTACAATTTAACTGTTATATCTAAATTCATATATTATGGAGGTCTTTTTATGTGGGCCTTATAAGGCAACACTTTCCGACATCTATCACTTGGCCATAAAGATCTAAACTACTTACATAATCAACAATTTCAATCATGAGAAATTTTCTCGTATGTTGCAACCGTTAACTTGATCATCAAGTTGTTTACACTTTTATGGATTTCACAATCATTACAAAAAGTTTTAATCATTTAAACTAAGACATCTCTAAGGCCATCAAACTAGCATATTTCATAAATAATTTGTATTCATTCATTTGGTGAAGGGATCAACAATCATATCTTCTGCTAACAAGTGACAAGTAATTTATTCACACTTCACCATTTTTCAATATTGTATCCTTAGTCCTGTTTGTTTTGTGGGTTTTGGGAGAGATTGGTATCCAGAGTTTGAAAAAAATAGTTTAAAGAATCCCCAAACCTCATACTTGGACTAAAGTTTCAATCTTGGGTTATCAAATCTAGCCCACAACTGGCCCGGATACTATCATGATCATGAATTTCGTCAAACCTATAAGGTGAGTTTCGAAAGATGGAGTAACGGTTTAAGGATACAAATGACAATTGTACCACTTAACATAAGTATGAATTTAATCGATCAAGGGACAAAATAGTCATTAATAGGACAAACGGTTATTAATAATTGTGATATATTTGTGGATTCTACCTGTGTATGTGTTGTACAACAAATATAGGTATGAACTGAATTCAATGTTGAATCTCATTCTTATAAAGAAGAATTTAAGTTTGAAAGAGTTTGCAAAAATCCATCCAAACAAGTTGTTATGTTCTTACCTTTGAGCTATTTACTCCATAATGTATAGCATTTTAGTTGTCCGGCTATCACAACATATATCTAAATGTCTTATCCAAAAGCGTAAGTAGTAGTACTACAAGCTTTATAATCAGATTCTTGTGTGTATCGCATCCTTCTTTTTTTTCTTTTTTCTTTTTTTTTACTCTTGAAAATAAAATGTGGATGTAAAAGAGATTGTCCAAATACCACTCTAATAGATCCTCACTAATGGGATTATGAGACATTTCATCACGTCTGTCCCTCTCAGGAACGAACTTAACTAGACTAGCATTGTTGTCAACCACCGAATTTTAATGTGAACTTTAAAATTCAAATCTCTAACATCAGAGACTAATTATATTCGACAAAAAAAATTGTAATATTATGTAACATGTTATATTTCAAGCCCAAAAAGATAAAAGGCCCAATTTAGCATACAAGGCCTATTTATTATACTAAAAATTAACGAAGTCTAGTATAGGATTTTTGTCCTAAGCTTATGTTTTCGTCGGGTCGCCTCTATTTCCCCGCTGGACAACTTCTAAAGGCAGGGCAGGAACCTACTTTATTAATACGTTGTGAGGCAAGTGTTAAATAATTCTCCCCCGGTTTTATACGGTGTGAATGTCTTATGTTCCGCGCTGAGATTAAGAGACAATTTTCAAGCGATTGTTTAGAATGAATTTAGAGTAATACTATTTGAACTTAAAAATTTGACTTAATTTATTGACATAATGATGCGGCTTCAATAAAATTATTGGATCAACATCAAGTTCCAATATTTGATGGACTCCACAGTTAATCTAAAGGTTATAGTGCATTAAGTCAGCAAATTAATTCTCAATAGCATTACTCATGAATTTAAATGTCTTATATCAAAATTTCCTTTGATGAAAAATGATAAAAGATTTTCACCATGCAAAGGCGAAATTAAAATAAATAACTAATTATTAATCAAATCGAAATGACTTCGGTTACAAAATACTGAATGAAATAGTCTTAATTAAAGCATTAACTGCTCCTAAAATAACCTAAAAACTATTAATAATGCTTAAATCGTAGATTTTTTGGAGGTTTGAAACGTGTTTTATCTTCTCCATTGAATGTCATTTTTATAGCCATCTTCATTGATGGTTACCTAATGGTAATTTCAAGTTAGTTATCTCATTTTCAAACATGGATATGACTGATCATCTCCCGACTTTCTTCAATTTCTATTATATGACACTTCCTCAGCAAATTTAAAATTTCAAGTATCAATACATTGAATATTCTTGAAATTTTATGTTTATATCCAAACAATGTCAAAATAAAATTGGAAGTAACACGAGTCAAGTTTAGAAGCTTCTTCTTTGAATTTAAAAGCCTAGATATTGGCCATTTCCATTAGTCAAGCTTTTATTTGAAAGATATCGATGTATTTTTTAATTGTTTCTTTAACTTCACTATTCTACAAGAAAAATATCATATTCATCAAAGATTACGGCACGAGTGCGAATCAAATCCGTTAAAGAGGTTTAATCACAAAAATGATAAGTGGTGGAAATGGAATTGATTTAGCCGTTCAAGTTCGCTATCAATTAGGTAAAAGTAAGAACATAATGGAGCATAAAGAAAAAGACTGCCAAGTCTTTATTATGTGATAAGGGCCAGTGAGGATGGATACTTTACTATCGTTGAGGAAGGTGACTGAGAACTTGTTACGTGCACACTTTAAAAAAAAAAATAAATATATATATATATATCTAAGTAACCACATAAAATAATACTCACAAATACTCTATCACTAAAAACTATCTTTAATTTACATGAGAAATATATTAAAAAAATATGTTCATAATAGAACTCCTAGATTTGTATATAGTATAGCAAATTGTACCTTGATGGGGGTAAATTTTTCTAGTGATACCTATAGATCGTGCAACGATTTGGTGCCCAGTATGGGTATGGACATAGGTAAACAAAATCATACATTTTTGATACAGTGCGATGGAAATAGACTTACTTAGTATACTCTTTTAGATTGCGATTCATTTTGAATTTTTTTTAAAAATATTTTTACTATGATACTCTGTCATTTGATTTTTGTTTTACATTATGATTAAAAAAAAATCATAGGAAGCGTAATAGAAAATAACAGACCTGCTAATGACTATGAATAACACAAACTAACGGCTAAATTTTAATAGTACGAGAAAGATTCAAATTTTAATTAAAAAAAATATAATTTTAAAAATACTATAATAAAAAATAAATATCAAGTTGTGTTTATCTGTAAGAGCAATATTACAAAACTCAAATGAAACCTAAAAAATTGTGACCTAAATACATATCATATCTTGGATGAGTGGGTCCCATCAATTTTTTCAGTAGAACCCACTCATTTAAAGAATGATATATATCTTAGTTTTAATTTTTGAATTTCATGGTTATGTAGCATTT